TGGCCTTCGCTTTGGGTGCTGCCTTCTCCTTGGGAGTGGCTTTAGGCTTCGCTTTCGGATTGGCGTCTGGTGCAGCAGCAGTTGGATTTGGGGCAGGAGCAGTAGGTTTGCCGCCACCTGCAAAGTCTCTTGCGTACTTCTCCCTAGCGGCCACATGCTTGTCTTCTCTGATTCTGGAGATGTGCCTTTCGATGACGTCCAACAAATAGCGATAGCTTCGTCTTTGGTCTCCTTCAATCCATGACTCGTACTGCTTGATGTCGAACATCATAAGACTCGAATTTCGAATCTTCTTGTAGAGAGCGTCACGAAGCCAATCATCAGGAGGTACATCATCCGGCATCATGTTTGACACCATCTCCATCCATTTCTCGTAGAACACTTCCAGGTTTGAGTCACCGAGATACTTCATCGATACGATGTGCTCCATGGTGAAGGCTGTCTCTCGTTGACCTGGGGTTCTGAAGTGTTCCAGGATCATAGCCAAGATTTCTCGTCCCATAACAAAGGTTCCTCTCCGGCTATGACTCTGTGTTCTCAATCTCAGTTTAATTGCTACATGACGAGCAACATCACCGGCTTGAGCTATCACGTTTGACAATGCAATTGACAACTTGGCGTCGATTGACTGATATCGTTGCCCTCCACTGTCATTCAATAGCTCGATGTCAGGATTTGGTCGAATAGCCGGCTGTAACCATGCCTCCCACGCAGCCTTGTCTCCATCATTCGCAGCAAGAACAACACTCTTTATGAGGTCGGATTGCCAAACCCCAAGGTTCTGTTGCTTCGGCCATGGGCTAACATAGACTTTGTCAGCCTCCCGTCTTGACATTCTCGGTACTTCTTCTGCCGTGTACGCCGCTGTGGAGATATCATCTGCTGAATCTCGTTGTGATCCTCGAACTGAAGGCAAACCAGGAGGTTCTGGAGGTGGTCCTGGACCGTTGGGTCCGAAAGGGTCAGGAGGTCCATCCGGGTCAGGTGGACCACCCCATCCGCTCGGAGGCTTGTAATAGTCTTTCTCGGTTCCATCGGCGATCTTGTTGTCGACTTCTTTCAGCAGATCGGTGATCCTTTTGCTCGATTGAGAAGGTTGCTGTTGAGAAGGTCCAGCCTGTCCGCGATAGGATTGAGCAACATTTGTCTCGTAGGTCAACTCCTTGTCAATCTGCGTTACCCACGATTTTAGGATAGCGCTCTCGGAGTTAGCCTCACTCACCTCATTCTCCAGTTTGTCAATGACCAGTCTTGATGAGAGATCATAGTTGGGGATGCCTGCCGAATAGGGAAGTGTATCAGGGCTGACCCTAGACATAGAAGCTTCAGAATCCTTGAGACTCTTTCTCAGTTCATCTAGGTGACGTTTCATGTCAATAATCTCAGAATTCTTGATACCAATCTTTTCATCCCTATCCTGAATTTCCCCCATAAACATACATGATCTCTCATACTGTTGAACACCACTAGCCAATTTCATTTTGCGCTCACTTTCTAGTTCAGATCTTAAAGTTCGGACTTCAGCGTTGGAGAAGGACGACGCCCCTACATCCGCAACTTCAGCCAATCTTTCTTTTAACAACATGTTCTCTTGTAAACATTCATGAACTTCATGATCCAGATCCTGAACCCTGATTTGAGCGATTTTGGCTTGATTACGTAGATCTTCAACGAGCATCTCATCGGGGCCACGACCATCGGTCGTAGTGCCCTGAGTCAATGATCTTCGCAACTTCATGTTCTGCAACTTGATCTCATCCTTCAATTCGCAGTTCATCTCCTGCTCATTGGTGTAGAGCTCTTCGTAGTGCTCTGCCCTTGCGATCGAATTTGCACTAGCCTGTGATTCAAGCCTCAGGTGTGATATCGCTTCGGCCTCATGGTTCCTGTATGATGCAATTCTTCTGACAGTATCATGTTCAGTATTTCGGTGCTTCAGATCACTTTCCAATTTGGCCTGATTTGCCTCGAAAACCTTCTTTCTAGATTCTCTAGTGATCTCTTCAATACTGCTTTCATACAATTCGGCCTGTTTACGAGACTGAACTAGAGCTTCACTCAATAGCTGATTCCGCTCAGACAATTCATGAACTGCAATTGATTGTTGTTGGCTAATCATTTCGAGTTGATTGCTAGAGAAGGATGCCATTTCGGATCGATCACGATATTCCATAATTGAGTTCTGGAAATCCGTCTGCATTTCTTGACCTTCATTGTATAACCGGTTGGCAATATCGGTAGTTAAGACATTGGTTTGATGAAGTTGTTGCAGTCTTGCCTCCGTATTACCCAATAGTCCTTGAAGGTGATGTACTTCATCCTTGTACTCTTCCTGGATCTCCATACCACGTTGATGGATCCGTCTTGCACCATGTTCCATCAGGGCACCTCGGCGTTCAAGGTCTTGGATGCGTATTGTTGCACCTTCGTCTTCTTGAGATGCTACCATTAGTTCTGCTTGATATTCTGCAACCTCATTTGCGGAACATGACAATCTATGATTGAGTGCATTGACCTCATCAAATACATTCTGGTTGTGTTCCTGAAGATACTCAGTGAATCTGATCTCGATGTCATGAATCAGTTGATCTCTAGATGCAGCGTATGCTTCCATTTGGTTCAACTGATTACGTAGGGATTGACATTGTGCCCGTAGTTCTTCTATCATGGCAATAGGTTCACTAGCCACAGAAGTATCCGTTGATCTCCTCTTAACACGACTATCCCCGGTCCTCTCACCAATTCGGTCGGTCACGGCCCTGGTGGATCTGTCCCTTGGGGTAGTTCGTCCTCGAGATGGTCGATGCCCTTGGCGGACAACATCACTTCGAGCACTATTTCGAGAAGATCTTGGTGTACTTTGGGTGGATATTCTTCGTCTGTTTGATGTAACTTGCCATCCGGACTGAGTAGTTCGGGTAGAGCGTATCCCACCACTGTCTGCCGTGTCGCCAGGGGAAGATTGAGTAACCTCCTCGACCGGCATAGCAGTGTTCTCATTGAAGGTAAACTGCGTGGTGCGCGAATCTCCGCTGCCGCCTTGCATCTTTGCGATGATGAGCTGATCGGTCCTTTGCGTTCACAATCAATTGCTCAGAAGGCCCGGCTACCAGCACGCAGGTACTCCTCTCCCGACGGGAGAAGTGAGCCCTTACGGCTGATAACCTGTGAACAATTTCACCCTTGTTCTAGGTGTTACCAATTGTAGTTTCGATACCTGCTTTGCTGGTCAACCGAGTCCCGTTATGGCGCAGCAGCGACAGCACGATTCATTTTCCTTCAAGGGGCGCTTGAGCCACAAAGGGCGTTTCAAGGTATTTTGATACATGCATATGCTACATGTTCTGGCGCCTAGTTCCCTTTGACATATATTATTATATTATTTATATATTCATATTTAAATATGTATGTATATAGTTTATATTTTCGAATATTTAAACATATACATATTTATGTGTATAACAAATTATTCAATAAGTTTATATATATGTGTGTTATATCTATACCTATATGTTTAAATTTATTGGATTTATATGTATACTGTATATATATATATAACTATATATATATATGTATTTATGTGTATACATTTCTATCTATATAATGATGATGTCACATTGAAATATAAAATCCTGATCAAACTGAACGTCTTGTAATTACAGTGTCACAATAAAATATCCGTCGGCCCCAGCCGCCTTTTTGAACGCGTCAGACGAAAACCAAACCGTAGATTCTGCGTCGCCGGTGCTGCCTTGACTTTCTTCTTGGAGCCACCGCAGCCACTCAGTCAGCCCAGTCATTCTACTCTTGAGAGAGTGGCTGAGTGGCCCAGTCACTCTACCAAAGTGGCTGGGTGGCTGAGTGGCTGCGGTGAAAAGATAAAGACATCTCTTCTTATACTTGAAGTAAGAACCCCAATAGCTTCACTCTCTGGCGAAAAACCATGGCTTTGACGCTTGGGATCGAAAGATCATCTCCACCCGCGCACGCATGCGCCAGGAGCATGCTGAAATCATACGCTCTCGCACGCGCACAACAAGACTTCCACCATGACCCTTTACAGCATTGCTGGTGTGTGAAGCTCTACAGCATAAGAATCATAGAATGTAACAATAAATCCTATTTTTTTCTATAAAAAAAGTATATTACATTGCATTTTATTATATTATATTATACTATATTTTATTTTATTATATTATATTACATTTTATATATTATATTAAATCATGTTTTATTATATTATATTACATTACATTATATTATATTAAATTATGTTTTATTATATTAAATTACATTACATTATATTATATTATATTGCATTTTAAATTGTAATATATTATGTTATATTATTTTGTATTTTAGAATATAGTATATTATATTGTATTATATTATATTATATTGTATTATATTATATTATATATCATATATTCTATATTATATATTATATATTGAATGTTCTATATTATATATTCTCTATTCTCTATTCTATATTATATATTATATATTATATATTATATATTCTATATTCTATATAATATATTATATATTATATATTCTATATTCTATATAATATATTATATATTAAATTATATATAATACATTATATATTAAATATCATATATTATATATTATATATCATAAATTAAATATTATATATATATTATATACTATATGTTCTATATTATATATTGTACATTATATATTATATATTTTACTATATATTTTACTATATATTTTATTATATTATATTATATCATATTTATATTATATTATACTATAGTATATTATACTACGTATATTATATTATGTTTTGTCATATTAAATACATACATACATATACATGCCACCATCAAATTAATAGCTTCTTGAAGACTCTAAGCCACAGCTTTGAACACTGACAAGTGTGCAGTGCCAGCACAAGCATGAAAACACCTTCATGCAAAGTGCCGTTGCTAGATGCAAGACACCCGCATCACCCCGGGGCTTGGATGCCAAGTCTCTGCCAAATAGAATCCTTCTGAGGCTAAGAAGATAATGCCAATCAAACCAAAATGAAACATACCTCAGGCTGAACAAAGCCAACGCAGCCAATGGTCATCGACTCCCTGATTGTTTTAAATGGAAATGAAGCCGCAGCTGATCAATGTCTGGATTGTCGTCCAAGGAGCGGTTTAACGTCAGGACACGGCGCAAAAAGGAGAAACTACCTTCTGCTGCCAGTGACAGCACCACCGCTGTCAGCAAACTCAATACTTGTGCCTTGGAGACTTGGAGACACCGTGCTGCGTAGCTGGACTCTGTCGGATCTTGGATCTCCAATGAAATCAATATGCCAATATGCCGAAAAGATTGCTGTGGACAGATTCCATAGAGAGAATTCTTCGTATTTCTTTCTCAAAGCCCTGTAGTGTCTGGCATACACAGTATCGTGTTGATCTGGTCGTTCTGCTTGTGTAAAGCTGCAAGACCAAAGCATATCCTAACAAGTAGTCAGAGGAAAACTATGTGGCTACCCTCAGCAACCCATGGTGCAAATCTGACATGAACATCTCCTGAAAAATAACGAAAGGCTGAAGGATGGACAGGCTGCGAAAAATGCAATGCTGCAAAAGTTGGCTCGTGCCACTTGACCTGTGCTTGCGGAAACAAAGGGGTTGCTTCTTGCCAGACCCTCAGGATTCGGAAACAGAAGATGACTTGTTTTTGTTGGGGTGAGTGAGCAAGGGAAACAGAACACAGAACCCGTGTGGAGAAGAACCTAATTTCTGCTCACACTGCTTCCAGAAATTCAAAGCTCAAGGTTTTTTTTCTTTTGGCTGTGATTCAATATGTTGCGATTAATGCTAAGACGTAGTTTGGCTGCAAATAGCATACATCCGTTCTCCCAAATTGCATGAAAGGCCACACGATTGACACACTTGTGCAATTTGGGGACTTTTGGGCTGAGGACAAGTCATTTTGTTTGGCACTGTTGTTCAACCTGCAAATCTCGTTTTTTTCAATTCTGTCTGCTCAATCTTCTTCTGCCGCGATTGAAAGAAGTCCCGATGCTAAAAATACTGGTAGAATCTGGTAGATCTCTTTTTGTCCTGCAATTCTCTTGTGTACTTTAGTATACTTCATAAATTACCAGTTTTTCTTGATTTCATCTTCTCAAGTTGGCTGCAGCTGCGATCCATCTCTGTCCGAGAAACCCATGGATGCCATCTTGGCTTCTCGAAAGTCATTGTCGGCCACGAACTCCGCTGTTGTTGCAAGTGCATAGCACCTCAACACTGACATGGAAGTGAGCACTAAAACCTTACCAGCTTGGTACGGTTGGAGACTTGGCATTGAAATGTGTGGAGAATCATGTGGAGAATCATATGGACATTGGTGAGCTATGTGTCAGAGCTACTAAAAAGGCGGTGAAGGTGTGACTTCCGATGTTGCCTGCCTTGCACACAAGGCACAACATCAACGTCCAAGCAGACTGTTTGTATTTTCGGGCCTCGAAGAACCTGAAAAAGCATCAAACGAAAATACAAACGGGATCAAACAATGAAACAGCTTCACGACTGATGGTCTATGATGGTCTCTTATGTGTTCTTATGTGTTCTTATGTCACGCAGAATGTTTAGTTGTCAAGACTGCCCCTCTTCCACTCGGCACATTCTCAATCTGACGTCGCCTAACCAAACGCTGTGATCCCGTCAGTTTCTGAGGGATGTAGTCATAGCCCATGTCACCTTAGCTGTAACAATGCTGTAACTATAGCTGTTGTTTTTACTGGAGACGTCGTTTACGACCTGGGTAAATTTAATGTTTTTTGGAGGTGGACGTTGCATAGAAGTATTGCACGTTTCATAGAAGTATTGCACGTTTCATAGAAGTATTACACGTTGCATAGAAGTATTGCAGGTTGCATAGAAGTATTGCACGTTGCATAGAAGTATTGCACGTTGCATAGAAGTATTGCACGTTTCATAGAAGTATTGCAGGTTGCATAGAAGTATTGCACGTTGCATAGAGGTATTGCAGGTTGCATAGAAGTATTGTTCTTTTTTAAAAAAGTATTGCACGTTTCATAGAAGTATTGTTCTTTTTTAAAAAAGTATTGCACGTTGCAAAGAAGTATTGCACGTTGCATGGAAGTATTGCACGTTGCATAGGAGTATTGCAGGTTGCATAGAAGTATTGCACGTTGCATAGAAGTATTGCACGTTTCATAGAAGTATTGCACGTTTCATAGAAGTATTGCACGTTTCATAGAAGTATTGCATGTTGCATAGAAGTATTGCACGTTGCATAGAAGTATTGCACGTTTCATAGAAGTATTGCACGTTTCATAGAAGTATTGCACGTTTCATAGAAGTATTACACGTTTCATAGAAGTATTGCACGTTTCATAGAAGTATTACACGTTGCATAGAAGTATTGCAGGTTGCAAAGAAGTATTGCACGTTTCATAGAAGTATTGCACGTTGCATAGAAGTATTGCACGTTGCATAGAAATATTGCATGTTGCATAGAAGTATTGCACGTTGCATAGAAGTATTGCAGGCTGCATAGAAGTATTGCACGTTGCATAGAAGTATTGCACGTTGCATAGAAGTATTGCACGTTGCATAGAAGTATTGCACGTTGCATAGAAGTATTGCAGGTTGCATAGAAGTATTGCACGTTGCATAGAAGTATTTGACGTTGCATAGAAGTATTGCACGTTGCATAGAAGTATTGCACGTTTCATAGAAGTATTGCACGTTGCATAGAAGTATTGCACGTTTCATAGAAGTATTGCACGTTGCATAAAAGTACTGCATGTTGCATAGAAGTATTGCACGTTTCATAGAAGTATTGCACTTTGCATAGAAGTATTGCAGGTTGCATGGAAGTATTACACGTTGCATAGAAGTATTGCATGTTGCAAAGTAGTATTGCAAGTTGCATAGAAAGAAGTATTGCACGTTGCAGAGAAGTATTGCAGGTTGCATAGAAGTATTGCACGTTTCATAGAAATATTGCACGTTGCATAGAAGTATTGCAGGTTGCATAGAAGTATTGCACGTTGCAGAGAAGTATTGCACGTTGCATAGAAGTATTGCACGTTTCATAGAAGTATTGCACGTTGCATAGAAGTATTGCACGTTGCATAGAAGTATTGCACGTTGCATAGAAGTATTGCACGTTGCATAGAAGTATTGCAGGCTGCATAGAAGTATTGCACGTTGCATAGAAGTATTGCACGTTGCATAGAAGTATTGCACGTTGCATAGAAGTATTGCACGTTGCATTGAAGTATTGCAGGTTGCATAGAAGTATTGCACGTTGCATAGAAGTATTTGACGTTGCATAGAAGTATTGCACGTTGCATAGAAGTATTGCAGGTTGCAAAGAAGTATTGCACGTTTCATAGAAGTATTGTACGTTGCATAGAAGTATTGCACGTTGCATAGAAGTATTGCAGGTTGCAGAGAAGTATTGCAGGTTGCAAAGAAGTATTGCACTTTGCAGAGAAGTATTGCAGGTTGCAAAGAAGTATTGCACGTTTCATAGAAGTATTGCACGTTGCAGAGAAGTATTGCAGGTTGCATAGAAGTATTGCACGTTGCATAGAAGTATTACACGTTTCACAAGCCCTGTAATCACGTTCTTGTTGGAACTCGCGCTAAAGTTACATTTCCTTCTGCACGTCAGAGACAAAAGTGGGGCTGAAGTGCTGATTAAATTCTCATTTCACTAATGAGCAAACCGTCCAGGTCATTATTGGCGTCTTGACCTTGTTTTTGTCAGAAGTTTGAGGGCAAGTTCGATGATTGGGGGCATCAGTGACATTGCGGATTGAAAATATTGTAGGGTTGCAGGAATATATATGTTTTTCCATTCCTTCGGCTGGGAGCCTCGAGTACATCAGCTCGCCCCAGCGCCTTTTCACTGCTCCCCACCCATGTGTTGATTGCCCCATGTCCACCAGAATGCGGATACTAGGAACTTTGCAAGCTACTTGAAGTCTTCCCTCTGGTTTCAAAATGTTGCACAAACGTCAAGCATCTGAATCTGGCGCACGGAAAATTTTAGTAAGCAGATCCAAGTCCTGACATCACCTGGAAATCCTCCACACAGATTCAGATTGGGCAGTTCAAATGGATCGCAACACACATGAGCCGTTACAGACACGGGAAAAACACAGACTACCCATGCACACACCAAGGAAAAACACAAAGCACACCCTTCTCTTTTCTTCTCTTTCGCTTCAGGAAATACTCAGATTCATACCATCTGATGATTCACTGTCCAAAGAGCTCAGAAATTCCTGGACCGGAACAAATCGTTTTCCAATTGGCACTCCCAATGCACAAGGATTCGACAGCATTTGCACAGCAATTGGGTGCCACCATCAATGCGCATCCTCCGGCCTCATCAGTTTCTATTGTGCAAACTGAGAGCAGTTTTGAATTTTCCTCCATGGCGGAGAAGTTTCGCCTTAGACATCATGCGCTCACGTCTACATGCTGTACCCAGAAAAATCATGGAAAATCTATCCAAATACACCTCATCCTCATACCTATGTTGCCCTATACCCACTACCATCACTACCTTGGTTTCAAAGTTCAAACAGTACCTTTGGGATGGACAAATCGCACCACGGATGTGGATCCGAGAAGTTGTCTCAAATGACCTCAATTTGAGGCTTCGGCGGTGTGTTGAAAAGACCAAAACGATTCCGCTCAAGCTCGACGTCCGTGCCACTTTGGAGCCGCAAAGCTCACATGGCAACTGTTGGCCAACCACAATATGTTCACGTCTTGGCAACAAACAAACGAGGGACATTGACAATTCAAACAAAGCATAGACTGACCGTCAACACAGGGACATGGACGTGGATGAAAAACTTGCAGCTTGCACAGCTTCACACAAACCCCACACGAAGGACTCCAGGGTTGCCAGAACAACTGCAGTGATAGAATCTATCAGTTTTCCAAAATAGGACCAGCATAGGCCCAAGATAGAAGGCCATTTTGGTTGCTTTGAATTCCACCTTTGCTGCAAGTGCCTTAGGTATCAAATCTATCCAAATCTCATATTTTTACCGTCCAAACTCCGGCTTTGGAACCGGCACCAAGGCAGGCAGCAGTGTGGCATGACCCATGACAGCTAGACCAACAGCAGTCGCAAGTGGCGGGTGAAAGCAACATTGAATTCCGTTGAATTCCGTTGAATCTCGTTTTGTCTCATGATTTCAGTATATTTCAGTCATCTCTGTCATATGGGTTTTGTTTTTATACATGGAGAGCCACACTTCCTGTTTTGCTTTGCGGCCAAACAAGCTTCTAACATCCATATACCAAGTCGGGAGACTCAAGCCATTTTACACCTTGGGGGATGAGCACTGCTGGACTTTGCCAGATGAAGAGCAAGTTCTTTTGTGCATCGAAAGTCTTGTTTCGGCATAAAAACTGAACGTCCTTCTCCCATTTGCCCTTCTCAATTGGGACTTGAAACTGCTCGAGGTCTTCTGAGACTTCTCATGTAGCCTTCTCGTGCATGTTCAAGTGCTCAGATGGCTGATCTTCTCCGCCAGCTTCCTCTCCGTCACATGGGTGTGTTGAGCAGGGCATCTGCAGCATCCTGAAATCTGCCATGGAAGCGCTACAGAAGCAGAATACCATTGCCACACTGTGAGTAGGGAAAGGGATAAATAAACTCACAACAAGTGCTGGGATTGGAATCTCACTGAAAGAAAATTGTTTTGCGTTTGGATAGAGGTACCCATGCCACTGAGCCTCTATTTGTCTGCTGACATGTTGGCTTGTCCTTATACATCCTTATACAAACTTTGGACCCAGTGCAGACTAATTTCGAGGGAACTTGATCTTTTTATCTCTTTTCAAACTCTTTATGAAATGAACATTTTTTGAGGCTTTTGATCAAGGCTCCTCCACCGAATGTGCTGCAGCACTGGCTTCATTTCCCACTTCAGCTGCGACAGCCTCAGCGCGATCGACAGCAGTGAGCGGAGCACCACCGGGCCAAGGCGGGCTGTAAGGCACGCGTCCTGCTGGAGGTGTCCAGCCATAGTTGTAATCGGCCTCTCCAGGCCTCGCAGAAATTGGAAAAGCGGAATTTGATAACAAAATATAACAAATCAGCAAAGTTTTGGAGACATCTGATTGGTCTTCAAATGACATCTGACAACATCAGGATCCATGTTTTGAAGCAGGCGATCAAATTCGAAATCTGTCAATGAAAAGCTTTTGCCGCACCTTGGAGGGATCGGTTGCATTGGAGGTGCAGTTCCACCACGCGGTGGCCAAAAGGGTTCTTGGTCTTCCGGCTTTGGCGTTCCAGGCGGATTCTTCGGCAGAAATTGCTCCATCGCTTTCTGCTCCTCCAGCTGCACACCCTCCTGCAGAAAAAATCGTTCAGCTCTTCTACAGTTTTTGCTTGGCACGCAAATGAATCCAAAGAAAGGAGTTG